CATCGTCTATCATATAATTCAGCAATTTTTGCCCATTCATCATTAGTGGTAGGTACCTACATAGAAGTAAAAATACAATACAGTAAACATTGTGTTTATATAATTAAATATTTCAAGTATATTATACAGAATGTAAAAGGATTTTCAATTATATTTATAATAATATTAATAACTATTTAATATTTTTATTGATTTTATTTTTGAAGTAGTAAAAGTGCTTCAATGTTAAAAACCCAAACAATGTTTAAAAAAGGTGGTTTCTGGTAGCAAAGTAAATCTATATTGTACTTTGGGGGGGGGGGGGCAAAACTAAAAAATTGTTAGTAGTTTTAAAATTATATAATTATGTTTTTTTGTTAGTTTTTTTTATAATTATTTATTTATTATTTCAAAATTTCCCAATACAGACACTGAATAATCCTAACAATGGAAATTATGAAGAGCCTCAAAAACAGACTGATTCAACTGAAGTAAATGAATTACAAGAGACTACTTTTAATTCTTCGAGTAGTACGAATTTTTGTGGAGAACTTTCTTCTGAACAAGAAAAATTGCCGGAGAAAATGAAACCACCAAAATTTACACCACGTAAGAAGAAACGTTCTGATGAACCTCTTCTTGAAAATGCATTAGCTAGTTTGGATGAAATGGCTGGGAAAATAAAAAATGAAGGCGCTTGTGATAAATTTGGAAAATATGTCTCTTCACAGTTACGCGAACTACCATTACGTCAAAGAATTCTCTTACAGCAGGAGATACAAACTGCTATTACTAATTCAATTCTACGCAATATTTCATCAGATGATAATCCAACACAGTTAATTCAACATCCATTTACATCACCAAATACAATTGTAACTTCAAACTCATCGAACATTTCTGAAGAAAGTCAAGCGGCTTCAACACATTCCGATTATAGTTCAACTGATGAAACAATCGATGTTATTAAAAAAGCTATGGAAAATACATTCGACGATTTTGTATTCGATTAAATCAAATATAGGTATAATAGATCGTACTACTGTATTCAATTCCTAATAATTTTTTATAATTTTACAATTAATATTATAATATTTTTTCAGTGTACTTAATAATAAACACAATAATAATATCTGATTTAATATAATCTAATAATTACCTAACATTGCTTTGATACCAGTGGCGTGACGAAGGACTATATTTGAGGCACGTNATTATAGGTGTTGAAGTACTCAAATTATTCCAGTAAAACGAGTTTTTTTTCGATTTCCGCGACAATGAATTTTTATTTTTCTGCGCGACATGCTCGTCTGCCGTTCACGTCAGTGGCGTGACGAAGGACTATATTTGAGGCACGTGCCTCAGTTTGAGGGGTGGTGGGTGTCCTGGGGACTGGGGTCCTATCTCACATTAAGAAAATATTTGCTCAGTTACCATTCATAAAATGTAAATACCCAGTCGTAATTTTGATACTGGACGGAAGTACCTACTAACACTCCCCACACGGCACACGAATACACGATATAGACAAAGTACATAATTAATAATTATATATAATATTATGATTAATGATATAATGATAATATTATGATTCTTTTCTTTGGGCAACACTGATTAGCCTAATGTCAACCATGTCAACCTAATCCTTTAGAATTAGAAGATAAAGTATTTCCAAAAACTTTTGAAAAAAATGGTAAATTTCGTTCATTTCATGCAAGTTATTATTACAAAACAGTACTAAATCAAGCTCCTTGTAAACGCTGGTGGTTGTCTTATTCTCTTTCAAAAAATAAAATATTCTGTATTTCATGCAAGTTGTTTGGGTTGCCAAAGGCAAAGAAAACTACTATTGTTGCAAATGGTTCTGGAGATTGGAAAAATATTAGTAGAATTATAGAAAACCATGAAATACTCCCAGATCATTTGCATTCTGAAATTAGTAGGAGCCTCTTCTCAAAAAACCTTAGATTAGATTTAAAGCTACCCTTGGTGTTTTCTGCGAATCGGCAAGTAGCTGAAAATCGGCAAGTAGTTAAAATCATTATTGATGCAATTATATATACAGCACGGCAAAACATAGCTTTGAGGGGCCATGATGAAAGTAGAAAATCACTAAATAAAGGAAATTTTTTGGAATTAGTTGATTTATTAGCAAACTACCATGCACCATTACAAATACATCTTGATAAAATGAATGCTAAATCCCATAACCGTCTTACATTCATGTCGAATGTCACACAAAATACCATACTAGACATTTTAAAAGAACAAATACGTTCTTCTATTATAAATGAAATTAAAATGTCAAAAATGTTTTCTATTATAATTGATACTACCACTGATGTTGCCAATCTTGAACAATTCACTTTGATTGCTAGATACGTTTTTGAAGGGATTATTCAAGAAAAACTAATTTCTCTGGTAACAGCTGAAGATGGAACGGGAAGAGGATTATTTGATTATTTGAAGTATTTTGTAATATTTCTAAAAAATATGATTTGAATTGGAAAGAACAATTATATGCTCAATCATATGACGGAGCAGCATCGATGCAAGGTGAATATTCAGGCCTCCGCACATTAATTCAGCTAGAAAATCCAAGGGCAAAATACATATGGTGTTTTGCACACCGCTTAAATTTAGTTATCGTAGATACAGCTGATTCTAGTGTACACACTAGACAATTTCTTGGTGATCTTCAAGCATTAATTGGATTTATGAGAGCCAGAAAGAGAACATCGGAGTTTGTTAAGTACCAAAAACTCATTTATCCTACTGAAAGAATCCGTAGAATAAAATCATTTTCCACAACGAGATGGACTTCTCATGACCGTGTTATCATTGTTATTTTTGAAAAATATAAAGCATTATATGAAACTTTAGAATGTTTAGTTAAATCAACTGACAGAGTTACATCATCTGGTGCAAAGAATTTTCTGAATGTAATATCATTGTTTGATTTTGTTATAACAATGATATTATTAAGAAAAATATTTTCTATTACAACACCACTATCAAACTACTTACAATCTAAATCAGTAGACTTTATTGAAGCTCTGCGTTTAATCAATACTTCTAAAGAACAATTAGCTAAGATGAGAAGTGACAAAAAATATGAGGAAATGGTAAAAGATGCAAAACAATTTGCTAACCTTCATAATCTAGCAGAAGTAGACTTTAAAGAATCAAGAAAACGTACTAAAAAAATTTTACCTGGAGAAAAAGCTTCCGATGAAGTACAGAGCTCATCATTCGACAAGTATCGATGTCATACATACTTTACAGTTTTAGACAAAGTAATTATTTCAATTCAATCTTGATTCAATGACTCTAACAATATATTAAAAGATTTCACACTTTTATCACCAGAAAGATTAAGGAAATTTAAAAATGAAAATCAACATCTTCCTCAAGATAGTTTTGCTGACCTAGTGGCTTGGTTACCAGAAATTGATATAAATCAACTACGTAATGAGTATATTATTTTTTCTAAAAGTTTTGATGATCTCACATCAGGTATAGATTTACCTACTTTATTGCATTGCCCAGAATCAATATCATCAAGTGAAAGTTGTGAAGAAGAAGAAAAAAATATAACTCAAGATGAACAAATTAATAAGACAAAAATTGGTGTTAGTATTATTCTTTATACATTGTCCAAGTATGATTTGTCAGCAGCGTTTCCCAATTTGTATATAGCATACAAAGTCTTAGGGACTATACCAGTTACATCTGCATCTGCAGAAAGATCATTTTCCAAAGTAAGTTTGATTGCTAATTCTTCTGCTTCTAAAATATAAATGTTCTCAATCCCTAAGCTTTTAATTAAAAAATATATATTTAATTGCCTTGCTTTGTATTATAAAAGTTTAGATTTTAAACTTTATTTTTTACTTCTATGGGGTGAACGTTTAAAATTGAATATAGAGCTTAAGATTTTTGTGAAGGTCTCATAGTATTTATAATAACTTACCTATTCAGAAATACAATCGCATTATTTTAAACATTAAATTTATCGCTAATTACAATTATTATTATTTTCAGGTTAAACTTATTAAGACACGTTTACGTTCTACAATGGACCAGGGACGTTTGGAAAGCTTAATGTTTTTGAGCTGTGAAAGGGACATCAAAATTAATTATGAAGAGACAATAACATTCTTGGGAAAATCATCCGATGTGTTAAAAAAAGCATTATTATTTAAATGAATAAATATATTTTATATTATAAAAATTTTTTTTAATGTTTTTTGGTATGGGTGGTGGGTCTGACAATATAACTTGTGCCTCATAACTTGATGAAGTTCGCCACGCCACTGGTTCACGTAACCCAGATCGGTTCAATAAATCCTACCTACTTCCCTAAAAAGGTCCCATCTCGTCTCGCGAATACGAATATATATATATATTATGATATAATATACACATCATATTATAGGACGCGTATACGTAAACATTACACGGATGTAGATATAATAATATTACATTCTCACATAAAGGTTCTCTGATTTCACGCGCGCCCTACCAAGGAAATAAAGTTTTTCGCTATCCGTATCACGTTTGGATAACATGCAAAACGTGTACAACTATAACCTCGGTCGTTAATATACGCTCGGCCTGAACCACTACCAAGTCTAGAACTCTGGAAACTGATATTGTGTTCAAAGAATAGTCGGCGGGAGCGTGCTCGCGTAAATTATTACACGACTGTGCCGCCGCCTCGGCTGTTGGCACACGTCCGATGACGATTCTAGTTATACGGCAATTATTATTATTATTTCACACACGCGTGTGTGGAAAGTTAATTCGCATTATCGCCAAAACTTTGGGAACGCCTGTCGGGCAAAGTTTAAGAGGAGCCCCGAGGGGGGGGGGTGGAGGGATTCGCTTAACGATGACGATTATTGTCGCCTCCGTATCGGGGGACTTCACGCTCCTTATACAATATTATTATGTACGCGTTACGCAAACACATGTAATATGATTATATTTTGGTGATCGTCTGTTTGTGTGTTTCGCAGCTTGCAACCGGACATATCACGGCGAGGTGGGCCGAACGTACGAGCTGGAAGTCAGAAGACCCAGGGAAGACAGATTGCCATTCTTGTGCTACTTGAACTTTACAGCGGCCGGCGGCAAGTACGGCGACATAATACAGGTAAACCTTCGTTTTGAGCGCTACATAACTGTTTACGGATACGACTAAAGAGCTTAAAATATCGAACCGATGCTCTCTTACAGTGCATAATATACTGTTATATTTTAATACCGTAGAGCAATTAGTCATATACTAGCATATTAACCTGAATACATAGTATACATCACTCGTTGTGTGGTGTAGGTACGTAATTGACGTTGAAATGAGTTCGGCAGGTTGGATAAGGTAATAATATTATTATAGATACGTCGACTATGTACTGGTCGAGGATTTAAAATGTGATCGCATCGAAATCCCGACTGCATTGTCCGACGTGCACTTACGTATTGTACAGAGGTACCTTTCGTTTAGGATTATGCTCGTAACATTATTATTGTATTATTGTATTATTGTTACTCGATCGAGAAACGAATGGACAGTTGATGATGAACAGGAATTCAAAACGCCTTGTGAATATAAAAATACAATGATATGTGCGATCGACGTCTACAGTTTTGGTTTCTGAGCGTAGACACGGCAATATTAGTTGGAATATAATTATTACTATATCATTAGGTAGGTACATGTTATGTGTTTATCGCATACTATAATATAATATGTGATACCATTGATCTCGACGTACCCCACTTTATAGTTATATTGCACCGAAGACACTATGAATAAATTGTGTTGTGCACGTTATTCAAACGAAGTATAAAAAACCATAATACAATTAAATATATATAATATACATGAATTTAGAAATATGAAATTATATTATTGTGCTGTAAAAACTAGTTTCATAACGTTCGGGGGAAAGTTTGATTGAAAAAGTCATAAAACAACCGACCGAATACCGACTTCTTCAATGTATACGTATATAAAGAAATGATAATAATAAATACAAAAACCATTTGTATCATACATGTACTCGGGATCGTATTTTATACAAAAATTAAATTAAAAACAATAAAGAAAACACTATAATTGGAAAATGAAACAAAATGAAACTGCAAATTTCAATCTTATTCCTCCCTGAAGCATCGAAGTTTTTTTTTAAGGAACTTTTACTCCGTGCCTCTACCTCATGTAAACTTTGTTATTTTTTTTTTTTTACGAACAATCAAAGTTGACTGAGTGTGCGATTATAAAAAGCAAAAACTTTTTCTTCTACAAATAAACTCAGAATATAACACGGGAAAAACTATATGACCAAAGTTCAGTTATTTACTAGACGCTGATTTTTCTTTTTTTATGTAAAACTTGCTTACTTTCTTATGATAATGATAATACGAATAGGAAAAGAGAAGACATTTATCAAAACCAAAAATAATTTGTTATAAAAACTATGAATGAATTTTATTCTTTTTTTTTTGTGTTCAAGTGAATGTAAGCGCTTCTCCAATTACAAAATGTATCAGTATATGAAATTGATAAAATAATCGTATCTGCAAGCATAATATAGAATATTATAAAATATTATAATATTAAATAATTGGTAGGTACATTTGCTAAAAATAAAAATAAAAATATTTATTATTAATTTATAAAAACTAATCTTTTAAATTTAACTGCTTTCGAATATTTAAAAATTATTTAAAATCAATTGTTTATTTTATACTATAATTAGTCCACGTCTTAAATGCGTACAAAAATGTTATTATAATTTAACAAAGTTGGAAAAAACATGAAAAACCATTCACATTTTTTTAATCTTTTGTAAGGTTATGTAATAAGACTTCTAACGTTATTAAATTAAGTAAAATTATTATGTAAAAACCAACTGTGAACACTACTAAAATAAACTCCTTAGGTTTCCTTGTTAATCCATTATGGCTTTTGAAAACAACCTCAAGATATTTAAATTAATGAAATGCAAGAATATATTTTAATAATCATTAAAAGTGTATTATTTACAAACAAGGACCCACGTGACATTGAAACTGATCATTATTTTATTAGATGTCCACAATCCACTAATTAGAACAGAAAAAAATTAATATTCATCGTTTAATGTGAAAAAAAATCATGGTAATCACATAATTAAAATATAATCATGATAACAATAATAATTTAATATTCAATAATATTATAATCATTTTTTTTTTTTTAATAATTATGCTTCAATTGAAAACATGAATTGATACCAAAATTATAATAAATATTTTATAGAACAAATAATTGTATGAGGTCATAAATATTTAATATTTTTCGTGAAATAATTGCTACGGAATAATTTATTTATACAAATATTTATACATTATACCTGCGCCTTGCATACCATTATTAATATCTGTATCTACAGCGAAATTAAACTTAAAAACATAAATTAAACATTGAGACAATATTTTATTATTTATCGAGTATTAAGCAAAATAATATGAAATATGCAAAACTACGTAAAATGTATTTTCCTATGCCCATATTATGTGGTATTTTCACTTATGCTTGAAATTTTTTGCCGAAAAAATATGAATAACATGACGTCAGTAAATAGTTTAAGCAAAAGGGATCTCTAAAGAAACTCTATTCTATTATTCTTACCTATAGCAAAATTAAATAGCTCTATAACGATAATAAACTATCATTCTCTAAAATATTTAATAACGTAACAATATTATTAACATTCCCACACTAAACAAAACTAAACAACCAACATTATAATAGATTTCAAAACAAACTTAATATAATAATTATAATTAATTACTCCTAAAAAAAATGTATATAATATATTTTTGAGGTTTTTTCTAATGGTTTGCCTCCTCTCCACATGTCTTCTTGTATATTTGTTTCTGTTCAATAATTATCTATTTTATTTGTTTTGCAATTATAAATATAGGTTGCAAAAAAATTTTAATAGTGAAAAATACCATTAACATAATATCGACACGAAATTTGTTCGACCAATAATCATTAATTAATAATAATTTACTTATGATATGAAAAATATGTGCTGTTGCCACTATATTAGAATCTTCAAACAACGCGATTCGACAATATTTATTTGGTTATTTGTTTCCCCCATTGGACCGATACCCACACCTTTTATTTTTTTATAAGTTCACTCTTCTAGTGTGGTTTTCTGTAAACTATTGTATCGTATAACATGTTTAAGGGCGTTGTTTGATTTAAAAATATTTCTGTGGATCAAATTATTTGTTACGTATTTGTTGACAATTTCTTCTACCGCAATCGAGTGCCAACCTTTCGTATATTATGCATTTATGCAACACACTTCAACACTTCAAGTAAAACGCATTTGGACTTATCTTAATTTTTTGTACAGGGCAACAAAAAAAACTCATAAATGTGTCGAGTTCACCTTAATTTCAATTTTATTAATTCCACTATTACGCAGTAATTTTAAATACTATTGATTTACATTTTGAATTTATCATGAATGTTTATAGCCCTGTTAAACACTCGTCGAACAAGTATTCCATTACTGTGATAGCTCACACTCTGACTTTGGCTTTAGATTGCTTTTGTATGTAATTTGGATTATGTTTTTTTACTCATATGTATATTATTACGGATTTTAGTATTTTAACACATATATAATATGAGTTCGTCCATTTTGAAAATAGAGGAATTGAATTTGTTTCAATGTTTTTAACTGAAAATGTAATACAAAGAACAAAGACAAATATCATAAAATGGCATGTTTGTGATTTTTTCATAATATGGACCGCTGGCAAAAATTGTAATTATATATAGGTATAATATTTATATATGTATAAATGCATATATTTCAGTTGTCTGTTATGAATTATTCAATCGGTACCTGCAACATACAATGAAATGTACTCATATCTGGATTATATTTACACAGGATTTCGGTCTTTTTACTTTTTTTTTCTACGAAAAAAAAAACAAAACAAAAACCTATGTAAAAATATATCCTTTATGTTGAGTAGTATCAAAAGGACATAAATGTATTATGCATAAACGGATGAAGTACTTTTAAAATTCTTTAATGGTCCTTACGTCCAGACGCGCAACACTCGAGTCGTACTCTTTTTTCAAATTTAAGTACTTCTCGCGATTTTGGTGCGTGCGTTATTTTCTGCCAGCTAAAACTCAGTTTAATACTATGTGTACAATGATGTTTTAACAACATATTATTATGTGTTTCATTAAAATAATGTGCAAAATTAAAACAAACACTAATCTATTTGAGTAGGATAAATATGTTATAGTTGAACATACATGCATAGGTATACCGTTTCCAGTAATATCATTCCATATTCTATTGATAGTCTCAACTTTAAGACTAAGTAATTTTAATACACAATATTATGTTTCAATTGTATTGTATTGTAATGTACTATTATACTATCTGCAACACTTTACCGCCCCCCCCCCACCACCACAGTTTTGGGTATACCCTTTTACTACGATGTGGTTTATTGGTATTCAAATAATGAAAACTTAATTCAAACTTATATATTCACACTTAGTAAATAATGATGGTATTCATTTCACGAAATGGACAATATTTGTGTCCGTAAACCTAAAAATTCTAGGACGTTATGTCAAAATTCACATAATAAGAATCCGGTTCATTGAACGTTTGACTAAACTATGTGGATGTAACATATAATATTTGTATATATACATAATATATAATATAACAAAGAAATATTTCATGAATATTTCTTGAAGATTCATTTTCGTACATTTATGTCTATTATAAGCACAGCTAAATACACTAATATGTTTTCAAGTTTGATGGAATATCGTACAGTCTTCAGCCAGAGCAGGCTTTTTTTATTACTATGTTTAATTATGACATGAGGCTTTCTGCATTTCTAAGTGGACAAGTAGACGACATACCAGTGTTTTTTTTAACTACTTTATAAGTGCCTATTCCACTAACCTGGGCTTATCTCTCCAATAAAAAAATAATAATTAAAAAATGTTTGAATAGTATATTTAATTACAAAATTATAAAATATATTTTGATAGTCTCATCATTATAATTTATGAGAACTATAACTAGTATAACTGTTAAGATCTGTGGATACATCAAGCTCGTTTGCAATTACCTATTAGTAGCCACTTCACACTTCTAAAGTTTTGGGAAAATCAGTCTCAACAAAGTGATTAACGCACTCTGAGCTAACAAATAATGTATACTCAAAAATTCTTAAGGTAGATTGAAAATAATACACAAGTAAATATTTAAAAAAAACTCTTTTATTAATCATTATTTCGTTTAATTGAACAAAATAATACTTACATCACCGATTTTTCCATAATTATATATCGTATATTAGTACAATCTATTTTTATATCAAATATTATACATGCATAATTACAATTATTGAACTATGATATTATGTTTTACAATATTATAGTATTATTTATTTATTGAAAGCACGGACTGATAGCCCAGTGGTTACATTGCAAGAATGAATAATATAATATGATTACGTTCTATTATTTATATTTATATATATTCTATATTTTCTCTGATAGAAATATTAATAAATGTATAAAACAATTGACAATTACAAACAATTGAATCAATTATAACTTAACAGTAAAGTTAACACATTCAATAAGTTTTAATTTTGTTCTCAATGTTTACAAGTTTGAATAGGTACAAAGGTTGTAACAAATGCAGTCTGTAAACTATCGTTTCATACAAATTGTATTTAAGAACTTCGATGTTTCAAAATTCAACTAAAACCTTGGAGAAGCATAATAATATTTGAACAAGAGTAGTCGACTGTATACTGCAGAGGTCCTATTTTAATATAATATTACCTTATACATAAATAGGAATTATTGATGGTTGTACCACTTGTACAGGAAAACATGATGAACATAACCAATGATTTTATGGATTTATGTAAATCCAGACAAACAGATAGAACAGCTTTATATACTACTGCTCTTATTGAAGGTTCATAACCAAATTTATTATTACCAAAGCTACGGATGTTAATTCAATTTTGTATTTGTATTTGTATTACCAATGTTCCAAAATATTATTACCTAGCGCCTAGCTACTGTGATTACCCAGTCCTGTTTGTCACTCGGTTGCTCAATCAGACAAATTCGTAATGCAAATAACCGTTTCCACGAATAAAAAATTTGAAACCAACATTATTTTACTATGTGTGTATATAATATAATAGTATTTATATATACTGTCTGATGGTTTTCTTTTTATAGGAATAATGTTGCCATAAAAAAGCAAACGATTTTGAGTATTAAATTCCGATTAAACTGAATACATTATATATTTTCAGTTTTCCTAAACTTAAAATTCAGTTTAATTTAATTTTATGGCTGCAATTATGTCAAATTAAATTACGCTTGTTTCCAAAATATTGCCTATTTAATTTTATCGCGACTGCGATAATAACGACCGGATTCGGCGGAATATTTATATACTGTTTAGTAAATATATAGCGATTAGTCTAAAATCTAAATTAATTTTTGAAACATTAATGTAGGTAAATTAGCAATATGCAACGAACCGGGACAGTCTACAGGTTCTTAATATACGTATACCGATTTAGTCGTGTAATTAATATAATAATAATATTTTGACTGCGAGTTTAACTAATTCAAAAATATATAATAACAATCTCGATGTAATAATATGCTATAACTAATAGTAATACAGCACAAATATACCTATACTGTAGATTCACAATAATTACAAAACAATATACATGTGAATGCGAATAGTGTCAAACGCGTCACTATACTTTTTAAACCTACTTTTATATTCTAATAATATTACGATACTCAGGCACCTAATTGTAATTATAATAATTCTATTGCAGTTGACGTTTGACACGTTTACCGTGGGCAGATTCGTTTCGTACACGTTGGACGGATGTCCTGACGGGTACATGTCCATCAGAGAATCTCAATTGCCAGACACCGGCGGTCAGTGGTGCGGAAGTGCGTGGGGCTTTACGGTGTACTACAGCGAAACCCGGTCGATAAACCTGACTCTCACACTATCCAAACTCTCCGAACAGGTAAGAACCCCTATAAATCATTTACTATAAATACGAAAGTAGTGCGGAATCAAATTAAAACTTTCCTTTTTTATGAAAAACAGAAACATAACTTCGTGCTATAGACAGCGTATTAGCGGAAACTATAATATTATATTACATAGAGGCGTATGTCCTGCAGAAAACACTCGGGCGAAGATTTATTCGTTCCGTTATTCAAAGCGAACGCCTCCATAATATATTTAGTCGGACCGATCGCGATGTATAAATCGCCCTAATATTATTATGAATACATTAGCGTTGTACTGTACCGCTGTTAATTGTTTTAAATACAATAATACGTCATTGAAATGATATACTATTGTTACAGGGCATTGGTTACAATTTCGATTTCAAATTATCGTACAAATATTTAAAAAAGAGCGACGCACATCTCCGGTACGGAAATAGTACATTCCAGACGTGGCGAGGACAGATGATAACAGGAAGCTACTGCGACAGGATACTCGATCAGTGCGACCGTAAACTCTGCAGAGTCCAGTCGCCCAATTTCCCGGGCGCTTATCCCAGAAACGTCACTTGCTATTATAGGATAGAACAAAGAACGGCCCCGAAGTCTAAGCGCGCCCTGATCGTGGTCTGACAGCCGAATGCCCACAAAATTCATATTAAAGACCAAGTCATAAACTACGATCGAAGTCAACGCACACTCAGGTATGTCTGCGACACTATGTATCTATACAAAATCGTTCGTTAAAAACGGGTTTACTCTGATGCGTACAAAAAAAGTCGTCAAAAATAATAAACAATGATACACAGTTTCGCTTGAGCTTGTAATACGAGTATAGTAATAGTATAACATAATACGCCGAAACCCCCATAATTTTATAACAAACTTTCATTTCATAAAATGGTCTGTTTAATGAAATATTTATATAGGAACCAAACCTGCGAATAAGAATCAAATATATTTAATTATATTCAAAATATTTATCAATAGTACGTTTTTTTTTTTTTACTGCTCACTAGACTTTCATCAATATGTCAGTATCACTGTATGCTGTATGTGTTACAGTATATTATAATACAAACTGTATTGTTTAACTCTGTTGGAAACAAACAATCAAACGTATATAATACTATATGCATATATGCATTACAATTGTTGAAAAATTCCCAGTGAAAACTGGAGAGTTGATGCTACTCAATTGTATTCCTTTCTCACCACCTATAGTTTTTGAAGGAAGCATAAATTTGATCGGTCTTATTCATAAACATTAATTTAATTATTTATCCATGGTCTTATTGGCCCATTTTGATTAGGAGATCGAGATTCGATTCATTGATGTTAATTGTTTGTAGAAAGCAAGGCAGAAGTTTCGAAGACTATCCCAAACAAACATATAGATGGACTTTCTTTTATATGTTTACCTACAAAAATTATGTATGTACTATATTAGAATAATACTGTATTCATTTTGTATTAGAAAGGTATAAACGCTTCTTCAAAAAACAAAACCAACCAACCGACCAACAACAACACTTTAAAATACACATTTGAAAAAATATCTCACTCCGATATATTTTAATACAATTCTATACGAGCTCACACATTTATTTATTACATAAGGCGTCGTAAGAACCACGTATTAACTCGATATAATATAATATAATACACCATTTTAGCTCGCCAAAAAGTCTAACAATGAATAAGAGTCGAGCGAACTTAATAAATTAGACTAATGTATTTTTAATGGAACGTTTCTCGATTGTTGTTTAAGAGCAAATTCCATTATTCTCGGTCTCTATAATAATGTAAAAGTCACATTTAAATCTCGCATTGTTCCCCGAACAAATAACGCGGCATGCCAATTGAACGTGATCTAAGAAAAATAAAAATCATTTATACTTTTATAGTCGTTCGTTCGCCCAAACGGTTCTCACTCCGGTATATAGCATCGTCGTGTCTCGTGTTATTATTTTGTTTTTCACTTCCGTTTGACAGACATAAATCCTTCGGAAGACGTCGGAAAAACGCCATTTCGTCATGTTGGCGACGAACCTACGTAAATGATTCCGACCGATATCCCACAAACAACAAATAAACATTTCGGTCGATTACGCTCCAAAAACGCGCTCAGACCAAGTCGAGCAAACCTGGGAAACGAAATGGCGCGTGCAAATTAACAAAGACAAATCTACACGTGTAACGTCCGAAAACATTATAAAATGGCAAAAGTGTGTTGGCAATGTAACGCCGAATAATGGAGGTCCATTCTGGTCTGGGCTTATAGAAGAAAATGTCCGGTTTCCGGTGTCAGGCTGGGATATAATCTTTTTGTTTGTTTTGTGTGTACCATTGCAATATGGACAACCTTCACTTGTAATATGGGGTGACTGCTGCAGGCGTTTCATCAACTACCGTAATATTATAATACTTAAGTTCATTTGCGGTCATCGTGATTTATCGGAAGACTGCACATATAGGTATTGAAGCCCAAGGTATCGTTTAAAAAAAATATATGCACCAATACTACCCTACTTCAAATTTGAACACACATTCAAATCTCTACGTTTCGAATTTTTCTGTATTATGCTCTTATCGTGAACAGGTAACTGGCAGATAAGAAACATAAAATCAAATATTTCATGCAATGGTACATCAAAATAAAATCAGTATGACCATCGAAAAAACACATAATTTCTAGTAAAATAATATCAGTATATTAAAGTTTATACGGGACGTAAAGATATCATTGGGAATATTGTGGAACCTGTTATCTCTAAACATATGATTCCAAAAGTTATCTCTGATTCTGAATGTGTTAATGGCGATCTGACGGTCGTTTACCCAGCCACCAACAGTCGTGTAGATTTTCGTCGCATAATATTATAAGACCCCCATCATAATTTATCATAATATCTCGAGAGTATAATATGAAATACAAAATCGAAACATATTATTGTTTTTGAAATAATTTTTTTTTTTTAACGCTGATAGAGGTGGAAGTCGTTGCCGGACGACGATGATCAACATCAAACGTTTGTTGTGGGCGCCTGATCCGCGACGACTGTGAGTAAAGTCGGCAAACGTAGTTCCTATTATACCTAACCCGTTCAAATACTATACCATATACTATACCACGGTAAGCACCATGAGCGTTTTGATGTTCTTGAACAACGATGCGGACACGAGTTGGCCATCAGACGAGGCGATCAAGCGGTACAGATATCAGAACGCCGGTGACGGACGTGCTGTAAAAGTGTTCGACTACCGGACGGGTCCGCAATCGATTTTGGACGCCGCGGACAGAGAATTCCGGCTGTCGGAACACCACGGTCACGGCGTCCGGTTAGTGTTGACCGGTTACCGGGACCCGACGTTGGCCAGATGGCTGTATCGGGAACGAGGGTTGCCCGTGAACGTGGTGTTCTCGTCCACGAAAATCGCGGACGGAAGCGACTGGTCCGAATCGTTCTGGTCTGACGACGGCATCACCATGTCCGGATTTAACCGCTCAGTGGATATCGACGACGACGACGACCTGAACATAATCAGCCATGTGCTGCGATTCGTCAACGACCTGTCCTACGACTACCGGTGGTACGCTCGTAGCCTGCGAGACATACCCTCGGCGGCCGCAGCCGACTTGGACTGCGGGGACGGCGTGTACGCATCCATCATGGATACTTTCGGTGAAGGTGTCCAGGCATTCGAACCCGTTCTGGACGCCATCTTAGAACAGCTGTGCGGGGCGGCATGCGAAGACCTGGCGGGGACAGATGACGGCCGGTGGACGTTGGCGTCGGGTGTGGTCGAAGAAGGAGACAAGGCGGCCGAAGACGCAGCTCGCCTGGTGGCGTCCCGCATTGACTGCTCCTCTGAAGCTGCTGTCGATTACACACAACGGACGACACGGGTGGCCGCATCGTTCGCGTCCGCGTTTTGGCACAAACATTCTGAAATCGCGCCGTCGCACACCGACTGCATACTAACAGCGTGTTTGACCGAAAACCTTAGGGCCGTCGCCGACCCGGAACTCGCCGAGCTATCGGCCGAACAGTTTCAGATGTGCCTGAACGCCAAGTTTATCACCACCAGACGTTGGCGACTGACAGACGGCGACCCGTCTGTGACCGGGTCCACGGCAACCACCGGCCCGTCGTTGTTCCGGCCGGAAATTCGGCAACGCTGTGAACGGTTTTTGGCGGTGGATCACTTGCTGGACTTGATGGCCGCCGGAAATGACACCGATGACGACGCTGCCACCACCACCGGCAAGAGCTTAATGTGGAGTCACGTGGAACACTTAGAACCGCACGTCTTGCCCCAAAGGCTGGTGGACTACGCGTCGACACACTTTAGCTATGAAGTTCGATACTTCGCACTCGCCGACACGCTGGTATTCAGATTCACGGACGGCAGACGCGGACGTTTCGTCGAACAGAGACACGTGCACAAGTTTGCCGGGCCCAGAAATTTCAAAGAGTTCCATAAAGAGGCATTTCGGGCGATGGACTTTAAGACGTTAGTAACAGAAAATGATAATCCCGGGTTTAGCGTTCCATCCATCATTATACTGTTATTATATCTCGGTTGATATAGCTATGGCTACAGCGATGACCGTCCGTTAGCGGTGACCGATCCGAACGTGTTCCGGTACCGGGCATTCGGTCACGTTGACGCGTCAGACTCCACGGTACACTATATATCGGTTACCGGCGATACCAAAATTCGAGCTGAAGTGTACGAACTACTCGACGACGATGGCAGCGGAAGCGCGGTGACAGCGTGCGAGCAGCGGTACCGAATGAAATTGGAATGTGGCGAGTTTTGGGTGACTGTTCACAGTGTGGTGACGGTGACAAGTTGTGAACGGCAAACCGAGCTGACCGTGGGCCTGACCGACGGCACAGTGGTCGCGGTGACCCGGCTGCCCGGTGGCGGTTTCGAAGTGACCTCGAGGACGGCCGACGGCCTCGAGGACACCCACGGCCAGCGATACGAGTGGCCAGACGGCCGGTCTGTGTTTGAGTTTCTTGTCGACGTGGTCACCGTAATCGCGGCTGACGGCACTTGGACTTCCGCCGACTTTGGGCGAGCCGATCACTTTGTATGCGCGACGTACCTGACGGATGGCGCCAAAGTCCGAATGATGATGACCGGACCAGCCATACAGTTTTGTCACGACTCTGAGTTCGAAAATCCAGCAACCGATGACAAGTACTTGGTATGCCGCAGAGACCTGTCCGGTTATGAGTTCGTCGACCACCACAAACCGCTGAGAACTGTGTGCCAAGTGCGGGAGGGTCCCGATCAAGAGACGCCATGGCCAGTGACGGTGGTGAGAACGCTGACAAAAAACCGATTTGATGGCCGAATGGCCGAGCTGGTGAACAAGGCGCTGTCCGACCACCTGGTGACTGTCAAAACGTTAGCCGATCGGTTGAACGCTAGACTTCCGATCGACAATGACGACGGTGACGACGAATTCGACGAACTCGAACTCGAACTCGGTGGAGAATCCCCGCTCGTCTCTCATTCCTCCTTAAACATGTAATTACCCAATCATCATTATTTCAATTTCAATATTATTAAGTTTTCGGATGTCTATCTGAGCTGTTGAATTGTACATTGGTACATTTGTTCTCTGTTCGCTTGGTCATCGATTTGACAGTTAACTACGGTTTTTCGAAGGCTGCATTAAAAAATTCAAAAATGACTTAAGTACCTCTGTAATCGATTTTCAATTTATCTAAGTCTAAAATATATTATTATTCTAACACTTAAAAGTGTTTCAAAATATATACGTACCTGCGTTTTTATTATTTTCTAAAAAAACATATTATGTATAATGCGTATAATAAAATACTTTTAACAATGAAATAGTATTGTGAAATTGAATTTAAAAGTATAATATTATACAACAATAATAATTGTGTGTAGCTTGTCATTATTTACGTTTGAAATATTTCTACAATTCAAATGCAATAAAATAATGCATATCGATTTAATATTTATTAAAAAAAAATTACATCATGTTATGCATTACATTTTTTTATCCTCGTATATTGCATTTTTAGTAATTTTTTTCCAAATTGGCTTTGCTCTCTTTATTATAATCATAATAATAATAGTAATGACGCAGCTATTGTCAAACATTATTGATGCCCGTCGAAACAGTTTATTGGTTCATAAAATCGTTTTTGTCGTTATTGTTAATTTTTTGTAAACGCTTAATTAGCATAAATGAACTACTTAACAAGAAAGGTAAACAACTCGGTCGGCGTTATTTATGAACATTGCACTGAACGTTATTGTTAACCGACGAGGCCCCTTAATGACTGCTGAGGGAACGAGCGAAAACAAAGATTCTCGCATTAAAACGAATAAGGCGATTATATCATAAATCACGTCGATGGCCAAAGATTTCTCGGAAGTATAATTTTTCTTTCTCTCCGGATGGTGAAAACTTTGCAAATGTGTTTCAATAAAAATGTGTCCAAACACGACTTTTACCACTTTCTAATACATTTTTCCCTAGGATAACTAAAATGTTCGAATAAGCATTAATCTGACGCCTGGGACGTTTAAATCACTTTGTGTGTTGAAAAAAAGAATCATTAAATACAAAAAGCGTTTTGTGTTTCCTAAAGGTTTTCATTGTGTATATTTACTCGTTTAGAATTTTTCCACGGAAAATCGGAATAAGTTTTTGTAAAATCTTCTGAAACCTTACTAAGATCATCCTTATTATAAATTAATAAATTCAAGTAGATATTTATAATTAAATAAAACATTTTTTTTAAATTGTATTCTGTTTAAATAAAAAAAAAACAATAAGAGTTTATCATAAATAAAAGTCATACAAGAAAAAAAACCTGTCAATTGTTTTTTTGATCAATGTTTTGCTTGCACTTGTATCTTTATTTATCAGATGCGAAAGAAAGAAAACATAAGATATCGAAAACAAAGTTTTTAGTCTGTTAACTTATTGCTTTATTTAGTTATATTTTAAAAACGATTTATAATGGCCATATTTTATGTACGAGCTGTTATAGTACCTCCCAGGGACAATAAGTTACGTACATAAGTCATAACTTCAACATTTTTAGAAAATATAATTTTTGTGACACCAATATATATATATACGCGTGACCAGAGATACGGTGAACTAATAATATAACGTAAACAAAAACTTGTAATTTTATTAAAATATATATATATATATATTATATACTGTATTTAACTTAATACAAATGTATTTAATGTAACAGAGTTTTAAAATGTAAAAAAGTTATCACAAGACAATGTTATCAGAATGTTCGTGTGACAAGATAAAAGTTTAATACTTGTGTTAAGATTGAGTATAAAGATACAACGGCTATTATTACGATTTATATTCGTGGAGCTTTTTATTTTTCATTATAAGTTATAGGTAGGTGAGTAATAAATACAGGTGAAGCTCACAATGATATACAACCACGTCCGTTATTTGTATTTTTTTACTACAATGAACGACGCGCCTATATGTATGATGTGCTGTTATAGAAGTATTTTTCTGCGATGTTTAACCACTATTATTTTTATATATTTAGTAATAATAATACTTTAGACGGTAGCCTCCATTTTTCCCGAGAACCGAACGGCGAGATTCTGTTTCTATTTTAAGACGCAAGCAGTTTTGATTGAACAATGACGACCAAATAAAACGACGTCCACTTGAAAGTTTCCGAATTATTTAGTTGATTATGATGTAATATTAAAATACCGACGTAATTGGCACATTGTGACGAATATTAATAAAGTTTGTTTTTCAAAATTTTGAAGTTTAAATAATAACAATAACGACTATGGGTTTGCGATGGAAATAATAATAATAGTAATAATAATAACGAGCTGCACGAGCGTCGACGCGTACTATCTACACTCATATACCCCCTTATATCGATCTGAATGAAAAAATAAATTAGATAACAACAGAAATCGGCCAACATCATATTATTATTATACATATACTATCATAAACTGTTATTATTATTGTTGTTGTTGTTGTGGTGGTGGGTCCCGCGTGGATGGCGACAATGGCGTAATAAATTAACGTTTGTCGTTTCGCGTTAATCAACGCGTTTTGACATGCGACGTCGTGCGGCGTTACAGGGTGACTGCATTATTAGAACAATAATAATAATATATTCATCAATAAACAAGTGATTGTGTGTGTGTGTGTGTGTGTATAAATTGCACACTATACAGGATGATCCTTTGAACATGCTCGCCCTTTTTTATGCTTACAATATGCATATATTCGAATTTTGATTTTTGACATTTCTAAATACACTGGAATACAATATTTCTGAATACTTGCAACAATTTTTATAACACTTAAGGATAATCCCGTCAGAATTCAAATTTTTTTTTCAAATACGAATCCTTCTTTTTCGCTTTTATTAATTTGCAGTAAAAATGGCGGTTTCTCAATTGAAAAATAGAAGTTTGTATTGCCACAGGACACTCTTTATGTAGTGTAGATACAACAAATATCAGGAAATTGAGAGTACCCGAATCTAATCTTAAGGCACACTTGATAATTGTAAAAATCAGAATTCGAATAAATGTACTATTAAAAGAAAAAATGGGGTTGAGTAGACTTGAAAAATCACTCTGATTATGCACAAGGTATAACATTACTGTATCGAAACAATACAACCGAACCATTTGGATTTATTGGATTTCTTGATCTCCTGTGCCCCAGGGTTTGGGACCAGTGCAACGTGATTCAAGACTATTTGACTGTGTACGACGGGTCGTTGGCCACAGACCCCGTACTGGTGAGGCTGTGCGGCGGTGATGCGGTACCGGATATCGTCAGTTCCGGGCCCAATATGCTATTGGAATTCCACACTTCCGCGTTCGACAACCCGTTCCATCCGGTGCCGCTCAGCTACTTGCCAGGATTTGAATTGGACGTGGAGGTAATTATAGTTGTACACATATGTAATGTATATTATTTATCATATCGTTATATCGTTAATCATAATAAATTATCTTTATTACTACGACGCACGACTCAAATAACCCAAACAGTATTTTCCTCGTGTCATATTTATATTCTTTTTGTAAGTACCTGATTGAGATTTTTAATATCTTCAAACATAAATTCTTATTATAGTTTACGTTTGAAATAAGCTAGGCGTTAATAAATAATCAAATATTAAAATTTAATAAGAAAAATGTTTTCCCGTATGATTGCTACACTGTTATAAGTTGTTATTAATTTATATTAACTGATTTTGACTTTAAAAACTCCAGTGTTTCGTATTTAGTATTAATTGAAAAACCAAAAAACTATACATATGTAATAACACGCACATGATAAATGTACATTTATTTCTTTGTTAAAAACTATCATCATGTTTAATTATTAAAATGTACTGTATTGGGTACATATCTATTTGATTATTTTCAATGTATAATTGTATGCAAAAACCTTATACAAAAATGAAATACTGATGATTGGATTAGAAAAAAAAAATTTCTATTGTTATACTATAACATTGATGCGTGTTTCTTAACTTTTTATTGAACTATATTTTTTTAGTATCATTTGACAAATATTTTATGCATAACAACTCCGGCCACTCAATATTCCTATGTATATACATCTGACACAAGACCTGTTGTTCTGACCTTTCAGATACTATTCGTCGACAACAAGTCTCCCAGCTACGCCAAGAACACCAGCCAGTGTGAGTTTTTCATCAAGCCGTTCAACAACACCAACTGGGGCCTGTTGGACAGCCCCAGGCACTCGTTGCCACCAAACACGTCTTGCAAATACCACTTTCAGGGTTCTAGTCACCAGACAGTCTGGCTGTCTTTCATTAAGTACCATGCAGCCAGCACTGATCCAAACGCATATCACTTGAGCAACGAATGCAACGCCAGACTCCGAATTTGGGACAAAGTCATATCGACGAAAACCAAAAAGGTCAGATCATCGTTACCTAACCTCACCTGTATAACAGTAAATAATTTAACCTACAATATCCGTCTATGGGTGGAAGGGGGTGGGTATTTTTTAAACTTATAATTCATACACGCAGTGGCTTAGCCAGAAGGGTTTTGGAGATTTTCTTCCCTAATAACTGTATTATTTATATTATTTATACACGAAAACTATAAAAAAAAATGTATTAATTATTAAGTTAAATTTATACTTGACCCCCTCCCCATTTCACAATCACAGCTACACTCATAGTTTAAATCACACGGTTAAACCAAATTCATTGTATTCCTCGTAAATACTAGTTCCGGTATCGCTATAATATGTTGAATATGTTCTATATTTTTTTCTTATTTATATTCTATATATTTTTTATATTGTTTTCTATGAAAAATGATAGTTTATACTGATCATATTATTATAAAAACAATAGCTCTAGGTTTTGTTTGTTGATCATAGACCTATGTATCTTTCAGTTAAGTTAAGTATCTAATTTCGCTACAGTTATCTGCACTCAAACAACACTCCAACCCCATTCGGTGGGTACTTGTTGTACAGAGTTTTCTATTAATTCGGTTTCACGTTGTACAGTTAAATATTATTTTCATTGAAAAATACATAAATGTTCTGTATTACATTAAATCCTAAATAAAGTTATGTTAGTATTAATATAAGGTCCCATTTTATAGAACTTGGTTGGAACAAGTAAAAAAAAACGTTTATGAGATTTTTTATGGTATGTCATGCACAAAAGAAAATCTGTTTATAATAATGGTACTTTAACGCTTAACAACATAAGTTTCTTTTTAGATTAGCCTTTATTGGTATCCCCGTGGAGTTGCATGAATTTATACTTTATTATGCTCAAAATGTCGAATATATTCATTTAGTATTCGTTCTTGGACGTAGGACCTGGTTCTGTATAATATTTTATTCAGTTACCTCGAACAAGGGTCGGTATTTAAAATATTTTGTACCGTGTAGGTCCCCCTGATTTTGCTTCCAACACATCATATTTTAATAAAATAATTATTTCAACACGTCACGTGGGTATACTGCAGTATTGTATCACCATCCACCGTACCATAACCGATAGGTTTTTTCCATACAAAAGTCATGAAAATATGTTAGATATTTGCGTAGGAACCTTTATTTTTCAATCATGCATGTATGTTTTCGTTTAACTGAAAGTGAATTTAATCAATAATAAATAACTTAACATTTCATACGCAGGTATACGTATGCTATGTGGAGAAAACTACAGGGTATAAGGTTCGATTCTTCAATGCTTCCAAGTAGCTATAACTTTTCAACTCTTTAATGAAATTAGCACGTCTTATAAGCATATATCAGCACCATGCTAATGACTTAAATTTTCTTCTGAAAACATTTTGGTGAGCTGCAATACTAATTACTATATAATAAACACCAGATACCAATATTGTCATTTCAGTTGAATATATTATGGTAATTTAATTAAAAGTTTGTTACAATGATTTCAATAATATAATAATAATTATTGTAGTTGGAAATCTGTAAACACAGTATGATATATACATAAATATTTTTAAAAAAAAATACAATTCTCGAACATTATTATTTTTTTCCTAGGTTAGATTAGGTTAGGTTTTTTTACTGCGTATATGCGTGAGTCTTTAGATTATAATTTTATGATAAATAGTAATTAATAAGACATTTGCATATAAGTTTTCTATCAAAATAATGTATAAATTCATTACTCGTAAATAACTCACCCCTACCCCTCAGAATTGAGCTTAAGAAATAACATACCATACAATAAACAATATTATTCAACGAAAACATATCCAAAGGACCATTGATAAATACTTGATAGTAGCTGCTGATTTAAATACACCTATAATGGGTAAATGGAATAATAACAATAGATAATTTAATTAATTTAATGACAACAAAACAAAACATTAAAGACAATGTTACCTCTTGTGTGTAGACCAAATTATTTTTATAAAATCAACAATGGCATTGGTAACCGTGTCACGATTGGTAAATGGGCACATAAAAGATATTCTATATATTTCCATATACATCATATATAGAAACCTAAAACGATCGAACAATGTAGGTAGATATACTAATAACAATAATAATATCGATTTTACACTGTGGGGTATTTCAAAAATAAATATTAATATTTCAAAAGCACATAAACTAAAATTTAATGACAAAATCGATTGTCAACTGAAGGAATAAAAAAATCTATTATATAAAATCTATCTAAAAAAACAAAAAACCATTATTTTTTTTTAAAAACGTAATATGTAGGTACAACATATTATTATTATATTATATAATTTTAAAGATAAAAATCAACATTATTTAATAGAGTTTTAGAAAAACCAACCATCTTATTAAACCATTATTTTGCATAATTTTCAAAATTATCATTTCTACATAAATTATAGTCTATTAGCTTCATACGGAATTGCCATAGTTAATAAAAGTCAATAAAATTGTGTGTAGGTTATTGTGTTAATATGCCAGTCGGCCGGCGAGTTGTATAGGCAATTTTGATACATCTGCGTATAGATGACCGTCGAACTAAGTCCCACGCTGTTACATCGACAGATGAATATCATAATGCAATATGTATGTTTTTACGATAACGTATCACAACTCGAAAGATGTGTCGGCCCGTAAACGACTTTGCAGCTTAATATCGAAAATCTACAACTGGGAATTCTTGGACTTATCAGAGGATATTTTGATTACAGTTGCTAATAAGTCATTTCGACGATGAGCAAATTGTAATACATATAGCGTATAATAATTATTACGATAATTATTATCACATACTAAGGAGAAGTATTAATCAAATCACCGTTTTAGTAGGATATATCGTGTATCTCGATAAAAGAAAACCATTTCGTTGTATCCGAGTATGAATATATTTTTATTCGTGGGTATTAAAAAAAAAATAATAATAGTAATAATGTACTTTAAATATCGCGCGGCTCCATACAATAATACTTAGTTTTGATTTTTTATTCCACAGTCCGAAAAGGTACTGATGGGAGAGTTCTGCAAGGAGCAAGACCTACCGCGGCTTTGCGACCACGCGTTACTGGGAAACGACACCAGGCACGTGCGGCCGTGCGCAGCCAAGGAGTCGTACACGTCGTCGGCCGACGAGCTGACGGTGGAGATATACCTGAAGCAGGGCTCGGTTCTGTTCCCGCTCCAGTTCCTGTTGCGGTACGAGTTCGTGGACCAGTCGGCGGAGCGGCGGCAGGAGCCCGGTGACGCGGGCCCGGCGGCGTGCAGCCGGACGTTTGCCTCCGGTTCAGGGTACTTCGGGTCGCCGAAGAACGTGTTCTTCTACGGACGGGGTGGCCGCAGGAACCTGACATGCGTGTTCCGGTTCGTGCCCGGGTCACCTGAAGAACGGGTCAAGGTGACCGTGTCCCGGATTCACTCGGTCAGCACGGCGTGTGTGACGGAGACGGACGCCCGGACGGACCGATCTCGGTGCGTGTATGGGGGCGGCAGCGGTGTGGACGCGGGCTCGGATGGCGTTGGCGGGTCCAGGGATGACGCGACTCACGCCCGGGTGACGATCACGCACTATCCATGGCCCGACATCGAGCTTCCGGTGGGGTGCGCGTGCTCCGGGCTACGTGAACCGTTCACGTTCGAATCGTATCCAGGGGCGGCGGTCCGCGTCGAGTTCGCCGTCCGCGACATGAACGTGACACAGGACCACCGGGACTTTGGGTTCTCGGCCGAGTACGCGTTCGTCAAGGCGCCGCTGTCGGACAAGAATGCATGCCGAGACGCCCGCAAGCAACGGCACCTCCGCGGCCCGGGAGGCTTCATCGACCTGATCGGCGTCGCGTCGGCCGGTGGCCGACAACCGGCCCCGAGCGCGTGCGCTGACTTTCCGTGGCTCATCGGTCCGGCCACGGCCGACAGCAGCATGTTGCGCACCGGCGGCTTCGTGTACATGAAGTTGCGTGGCTACGAGATCCAGCGGTGGCGCACCAACTCGTTCATGTGCCCGACCCGGAACCGGGTGGTGGTGTACACCGGGGCGGGCGACGGGCCCAAAATCGCCAGGGTCATTTGCCCGTACGACACAGAGGCCAGCTATAATGCGCTCCGCGGCTCGTACGAGGCGTTCTCGCCCGGCTGGGCCGAACCGCTAACCGGCGCCCAGCAGCTGCAGCCCAATTCAAAAACGGTGGCCGTCGAGTTCCTGAACCGAGAGTACGGCGCGTACGCTGTCACATGGATGGAGGTTTCCAAGATGCCACGCATCATGCCGTCCACCAACGTGTACGCCATGTCGTCAAACGTCCACCCAGAATGCGCATACAGGTCAGTTTCGTTTTTTAGTTTTTATTTTTGTTTCTCGACGTATAAATAATACTATAACGAATACAAATTTCTTTCACAATTGATTCACACTTGGGACTAACCACGACAAAAAAGATGTAGTTGCTGCGGTCAAAATTTGTTTGCTTTAATCCAATTTATTAACCTACTATGAATTTAATACCATAGAATTAACTATATAGTAAGACGGGTTTATACAAGTTAAAATAATATTACGATTTATTAATTTTCTATTTTTTATTATAATATTATTAGATACACCACGTCTTTTGTTCAGTACACAAATTTATGCATTTCATCTTAGCTCTGCGTATAGTAACTAACGGGTAGATATTGGTTTATTATTGTTCATATATTATGGACACATTTACGAGTCGACAGAACTTACACACGTAACCGTTAACATGTTTCATGCGGGCACTGACCAAACCCCGTAATACCTATTACATACGCACATAAGGCCTAACCACGGTTCCCGAGCATTTCGATTGATTACTTTGATGTATTATTATCATAATATCATTATATTATTACGTTCGGCAACAATGGCCGCCCGGCAAATTCGCTTCGATTTGTGCACACGGTAATCGATTAAAAAAATATTAACATAGTAATAAACCCGCACTGTACGTACACAATATATATGTATACAGAGTATATGCGCGTTGTGTTTAAAATTAATTACTATTCCCCACTACACCGCCCATCACTCGGATTAGATGTGAATTTATTGTGTAATAATAATGCGATTATGCAAATGAAACGCCGTAATAGAATTTTTTTTTGCTTTACAATATTACTATGCATAAAAGTATTCCAAGTATAATTTATAAAAAAAAAAATAAAATAAAAGAGCTGTGACCTTAATGTTGTAAGTTTATATTATTTAAAGCAATTTCAGTAATACTATCATGTTCAACGAAATATAATCATCTCGTGGAAAAAATAAAGTATAAGGGGTTAACTTGTGACTTTTATCTAACTTATTTATAATAATTATGTCTGTAAGTACTTACGATTCCAAGTCATTAAAATTAAATTTTCCACTATCCTCATTTTAAGTTACTTTTAACCTTTAAATTATATATTTGTTTATTAACTTTATACACTCTCATTACACTTTATCTCCTTCCAAAATATAATCATGTAAACTTTTATACTACACATAGGTATATTAATTTGTTTACCTACTGAAGATGAAACGTTTTCACCCAGGTTTTTTCACCGAAAAAAGTTGTGCACATGGTTTTTTAGAGATAGCAGAACCAATTTTCTGAAAATAATAGTTATAGTCACATATTTTATCTTCCCAAAAGTCGACTTACAATTTTTATAAAAAAAAATAAAAACCTCTTTTCAAAAATAATTTAACACATTTTAAAACAAACAAAATATTCTTTTACGATAAAAAAACAACAATGAAATAAAACATTGCTCATAAATATAAATAGTGTACCGGTTCGTTATCTTGATTATTCATTCATAAATCTACCTCATACGTTGTTCGAGTATACAATATTCATTCCAAAATATTTTTGGAGTTGATGCGTATTGAGTATCCTATTACCTACCTAACTATATTGTACAATCATTGTTACCATCGATTTGTTTCAATTAAAAATAACTTACAGTAAATGTATATGACTCCTAAAATAATGTCATTTTGTACTCATTTTTTGTCTTATGGCCCTAGTTTTTCAACATTTCGCTATAACTAAGGTAAATAGTAGTTGTAAATAACACGTTCTCCGTACCTATTGAGATTCCACTGAAAATTAAACATTTTCACCGTAATTCTAATTAAATTGACGTAAATGAACGAATTGATATAATATCCTCAATCATAATTGTATGGGTCATCGATACGGTAGTAGTCGCTAATAGTGCTCAAGTCGACAAACACACACTAAAATTCGTAAATTCATGTTTATATTTTTTAAAGCCGAATTTACACTAGAATTTAATTGATCATAGTAGTAGAGTATTATTATTGTTATTATTATTATTATTATTATTATTATTATTATTATATTATTAAAGTACCTACACTGTGTCCTTGAGATTGTGAATTAACATTGCATTTTATTAGCATACGTATTTAAATAAATATAGAAAAAACAATCAAATAGGAAAAACTAAGATTTACTCACCACCTACGTACACTTTTTATTTTAATTATTATTTTACTAATTGTATTTTTCTAATTGAGTGGATTCTTATTGAGTATAACTTTAATTAAAAGGTATGTGTTTAAATTATGCATGTTCTATATCCAATTTAGTATATAATGACTCTCTCCGACCAACACAATACCCACAACTTGTACATATATTATAATGATTAATTTCGAACTTACTAAAATAATCACAACGCTAACAAAAACGTTTGTTTTCAGTTTCCCATTCGTAAATTAAGTATAGATAGGAGTATTATGATGTACAATATTTAAATAGTTTTCATTATTTATTGAATACTTAAATCTAATATATGAATGTATTAATATAGTGGCTATCATTTTGGTTTGTAGCGATTGTGAATTATAAATAGTTTCAAAACTTATCATTATATAAATTTTAACTTTTTTTGCTAAAGAAGGTAGTTTAGAGATTTGTTTCAATTCAGAATATTTCATTCAATATTTCTTATATCACTTATGGACCGGTGTAAAAATCAAAAATATTCTATTTTATAACTCTTAAAATCACAATATGGTTTCAGGAAGAATTATAAATTTACTATTGATGATATTATATTTATTGTATGTGAAATATTGATTGCATTTGATTTTGTATCTCATAATTTTAATTTTTTGCAAATTTTTTACTTCCAACTTCTTTGACAATAAGAACCAATTAATTTATATTTAAACAAAAAACGCGTGTCTTAATATTCTAACATAACTACATATTATAAAAATATAATTATGTATAATTAGTAAATATGTAAATGTTTAATTGAAAGTCCAATAAGATTCTTTAAATAAATATCTCATATAATCATACATCAGGTATTATAATTTTTTTTATAATTGTAGTGAATATTATATAAATATAAATAAGAAATAATTGAAGTACCTACCGAATGAAAACGGATCCTTATTCAAAATTATAATATATGTATACATTTATGAATATTTTGGCTATAAGTAACCAAAGTATCACAAGAAAAAATTTCAATGAAGGATAGTAATGAAGTAATATGAACTCGAAATCAAATAAAAAACCAACTGACACTGTTTCTTAATTTTTCCTCGGTAAAAGAAATAAAATATGCAAGACAAAATGCAAGAAAAAAAATGCTGAATAATACTAAATGATAAAAGTTATCAAAAATTCTACTTTATGTAAATAGTTATTGGTGACCATTATAATTTAATTTGAGCTGTAACCATAATTTGGAACAAAGCTGCAAAAAAAAGTTTACCTAAAGTATAACAAAATGTACTTAATGATTTATTAAAAAGAACGTAAAAAAAAATCGAAGAAAGAATAATGGGCTGGGGCGATGAATATAAAATTTTCTTGAATTATATATTCAGAAATAAATTAATTTGCACTTTTTTATATCATTTCTGTAATTATTATTATTATTATTTCGGATTATAGCAATTGTTATAATATAAAAGTTGAAAAATAAAATGGATTCGATTCACATTGAAGTATTGAAACAAATTGTTTATGAATTAACTACCTATTTCAAATTCTGACATAAAAGGATTAAAATTACTATCAAAATTTAGCAGTATCAAAAATCACATAAAAATGTGATTTTAATTAAACTCAAATACCAGGGTATTTGCGTATTGATTAAAACAATAATAAATTATTGTGCTAGGCTATGAAGAATTAACTTTTTGAAAACATTATAAAATATTGTATGTTTTGCTGATTATAAATAATTTAAATAAAACAAAAATATTATTATAATTCAACTAAATTGACGGTATACAGTGAGAACTGAGTAGTGGAGAGTACGTTTTTTTATTCTTGACATCGGATAACCCGTTTTAATGAACGTTGGTCGATGTCAGATAGAAAACCATTTTTTCTTTCCATTTCCTCATTAAACTTTAATAATTGAAGAGTAAATCTTCATTGTACTTACAAACAATATACATTATTTTTATGTCAGTAAAGTGTGTTAGCAGAAAATTCAAACTTCTGGTTTTCTCAGCTATATGCTTATATACATATTATGTAGCTGTTTATGAATTCGGTAAAATTCGTAATAAAATCGATCTGTTCGGACAACAATTCGGATAATCCAGCGCAAAAAGAACTAAATATTTGTACAGTTCTCAAACGACGATAACACCATTTTTACTCGGAACAAATGCGAAAAATTCCAAGAGTATATATATTTTTCCATCAAGTTGACAAGAATTTCCAAATTCTTCGGCGTTAAAAAAAAAATCGAAAACCACAAAAACCCTCAATCGTTTATTTCTATCGTGTATACGGAGCAAATTAAATAAATTTAACAATATATAAATATTTAATCACAAATTTTAATTTTACTGAAGACCTTCAAAATATAAAAACGTTATTTCCCGTTTTATATTAAAATTACGTATGTTTATAACTAAATATTATAATATACAATTCGTTTACATAATAGGTATTTGATATTCGTTATTTATAAGTGTGATAAGTGATAACTTACATCATATTAATTATTAGACCTGTCATAATTTTAAATCTTAATAATAGTCTTATAATAGTCAAGTTCTCAGAGTGTAAATGATTTCAGTATGCCTGTACAAAATGAACAGAAATTATTATATTTTATATTTTTATTTAAAACAATCACGTAGTTTACAATTGATTTTGATTTCAAGAATAATTAACAATACGTCATACTTTGCGAATCTACTTTTAATTAAAAATATTTGTTTATGCTTTTATAAATGTTTTATTTGGTAATCGGCCGGGACCATAATAATACAGCAGTAAAACCCTGTGTCCAATAAAAAGTGAGAGTTAAATTTGTGTTTTTATATACATCGATTATGAATACACGGTTTATTATTATATTTATAATATATGTAAAAACTACACACCAATGTACCAATCACGTTTCCAAGTAACTAAATACATTATTCGGCTTTTGACCATCAAAATAAAACCGTGTACACGTTTACGCTATAAAGCACAACCACCACGTTCAATATATGTAGGTTTTCTCATATTATACCTAATACATAATCGAAAAGGATTGAAAGTCCAATAAGATTCTTTAAATAAATATCCCCTATAGTCTGCAGTAGGTTTTATCATTTTTTTATTTTGATTAACTATTTAAAGAATATTATTATTTTGAATGCTTGTATAAAACTATGTACCTACGTACCTATCACGTTTCCAAGTTATTAAAAATATCTTTCGATTTTTAACCGTTAGAATAAAAACTTGTTGACACTTTTATGCTAAATAGTACAAGCCACCTTCAATTTATGTAGGTTTTATTATATACCCCTAAGGGCTAAGACTAATTTATAATTGAGTAAATCATCTCAAAAAAAAAATACTACCATACAGCGATCCGAACTTTAGACCTATAAAATATTAACTGTTAGGTGTCGCGTTGTGTGTGTTCACAGGTGCCCGGAACTGAACGCGTGCATCAGCTCGCAGTTCTGGTGTGACGGTGAGACGCACTGCCCGATGGGCTTCGATGAGGACCCAGCCAACTGCGCGGGCCGGAACGGAGTGAACCTGATGTACGTTTGTGTGCTGGGTGGCACAGCGGCGGTGCTGTTCACGGTCACCGTCGTGGCGGCTGTGGTGTGCCTGCGGTGCAAGGCCAACAGGTCGCGGCGAGCCGAGGACGGCCGGCGGCGGGCGTCCCAAAAGAGCTCGGCCGCCGTCGACCCGATGATGTGCGCGGTCGACCGGGCGCACTACGACAAGCGGTTCCTGGAACAAAACGGCGGTGGCGGCGTCGTCGGGAACTCACTGGGCAAGCGGTACCCGTCGTCTTCGGACGACCTGTACCTGGAGTGCAAGCAGGACAGCATGTGTTGACGAAAAGACGGCGACGACAGCGTCGACATGGACGGCGACGATGACGGCGGCGCCGAACGCCTTCGAGTCGAGACGACCGTCTGAACCACTCAAAACCACCCAACCTCGGTCGGGTTTGGTATGAACCGCGTTCGTCGTGCAAACATATTTTGCGTCGACCCGAACGGTGGATGGTCTAAACTAGACGAGGCGGACATAGCATTATGGTACGCTACGTTTCGTTTCGTTTTTTCAGTCATCTTGTACATAATATAAGGTAGATAAATCGTTTTTAAGAATAACTGTGCACGTCTGCGAACGCTTTCGGATTGAATAATATCGATCATCGGAATGTCAGTATAATTCTATAATTGTTATACTCTCTGCACACACTTCCCCGAACGTGCTTATCCGATCGTGTGATGTCGACCGTGCGAGTTTACCGTTACCACTACCCCCAACCACTGACCTTTGTTATGATAACCGTTTCTACTGAATTCGATAATACCGTAGCCGTATGTCTGCCGAACACCGTTTACAGAGATTTAATATTATAATACATAATATATCGTCGGCAGACACCTCTCGCTGTATCTAACTATATATTATTATTATTATTGTCATCATTGCCGTCATCTTACAGGTATTTACCGGCGTTTACCATGGTATACTACGCGTGTGCCGGTTCGGAATACTGTTTTAAATAAACCCTTTACGCGGTATGCGATGCATACCGCCAGACCGCAGGAATCCGACTTGTGCATATCTACACGTCACCCCTCACCGCTCTCGCCGAATTGTTATCGTTTGTATTTTTGCCGTTTGTAATATTTACCTTTACTTTCACCGCCCGCAGACGCGCACACGAGTGTATATACAGGGCGTTTCAGAAAAGAGTGTACCTACGAAAAAATTGACTTTATCACATTAGAATATTATGATAATCAGCAAACGCTCGTTGAAGTGTCCAAGACTTGGTTAGGCACCCGCCTTTACAAATCTTTAAAGAGGTCACGTGACTTGTAGCGAGAGATCGTCGGTTTAGTATAATTGTTGATGTGGGTGACGGGTGTATTGGACAATACTGGTCGCCTCTGTCAACTCTCGCATTCGCCACGTTACTGTAGGGCCGTGGTTGTTTGTCACGTTTATTTGTTCTGACGAAATTCTTAACTGTGCCTGCCATAATTAATAACTAACCACCGTGCAGAAATCGTCACGATACGATAAAAATGCCGCCTGAGATAAATCATATCGATCTAATCAGCCCGAATAAGTCTGCTCTGCTTACTTCAAATAATTCAAATTAGGAGCATCTCGCCAGTGTCAAACATGAACATTTGGGTGATCAAAGTTTAGTTGATCTGTATTTATAGCCGTTAACAGATATCACTATTTCAAAAATAATGTATTACAATATCGTATAAGTCATTTGATTTTCAAATACTATAAATATAGTTTTATTATGGCGATAAAAATGAATTTATGATAAATACAGGCTATAGGCACTCTGATCTGAAACGTCCTATCGTTAAACGTTACGGTGAAATGTAAAAACCTAAGTTATTACTATTATTGCCCGTTTCAAAGACAAAATCTAATTAAACTTTTATGACGTTTATAAAAATTGGCAAGTCTCCTTTAGGACCTTGCGGTGCAACAATTTTGAATTTTGATGTTAAGTTTGGTTTTAATATAATTTTATATTTTTAATTCTTGTGTCATTAAGTACATCGTATGGCACGACGTTAACGATATTATGGTATTCCTTACACGGGAAGCGATAGGAGAATTCTGTCTCTCGTGATAGATTAAATATATGCTATAGGTACAGCGTGTATACCGATAATATTTAGTTCTTACCATTTATTTAGTAGGGGATATTTTTCCAGGCTTTGGTGGATAAATCCGTTTGAATATTGATAGACATGCCAAAGTATATATTACCTAACCTCGAGCAACAACACAAACTTGCCAAGAATGTAAAATATTGTAAATCCCCCGTCGTATATTTAAATAATAAAGTATATTTTGATACAAAATATTCTAAATAGCATGTCTGTTTTGTAAATGATTGTTATTCAAAAACCGTCTATAAGGCGTTTAGTTACTTTGTTACGCAATGTGAATAATTATTTTAAATCAAAAATAATATTTAAGTTTTTCATAATTACTCTTGAAAAAAAAATATATAACTATTTACGAATAGCATAAAAAAAACCGACGAACGCTATTGTTACATCGATCCTATATTTAATTAAATTTTCTCAAAAAGTTATTTTAATTTAATTTTTGATTAGTCTCAAAATAACATGAAAAATAAATCCCATAATCTTTAATTGGGTCATTACATAACTGTATAATTGTGTGATCTCGTGTATTCTTATAACCTAAAAGTCAAGAGACTCAAAATGACTGAATAATTCATTCATACGTTTATTAATCTATTGAATACTATGAATTTGTTGTTAATAATTGTTACCTATGTTTAAATATTATATTTATTATTTAACGTCATTGCGGAAAAAAATATACATAAAATCCCCGAACAAAAAGGTTGTGTTAGTTCATTGCGGAAATCGAATATTTACTAAAAACGTAGAAAAATTATGTTACTATTGTCTGGAAATGTATTAATATATCATAACAAATGATAAATTTTAAAAAAAAAATTAAAATAAGGGGTTTTTTAAACTCAATAGTTTACTTGCCTGAATCTTAAAAATAAAATACATTTTCTGACTCTCATTTTACAATATTTATACACGTATTTTAAATACTACATTATACATTATTATACTATACATTATATACTCGTATATAATTATGAAATATGAACCAATAATATATTTTCAATTTCCTGTTGTATTATCAAACTTTTATGACTGTATCAAATAAATCTAAAATAATATTGAAACGTCTTTGGATTTTGTAAAAAAAATATTAAGTGCTTATAATAAGGTTACAAAACTATCTATAAAATTCAACGTGTATTCGCTTACCGCTCCTTGTGTTTGCAATAATTATAAGATTAATACAATTTGTTTATACAATATTAAAATATAAAAAAATTATTATAATTAATACTATCTTCCTAAGTTATTATTTTCGTCAGACTTTCTAAACCTACCTTTTTTAACTGTATAAAGCCATGTTTGTATAATCTTTTGTGCCACTTTGATGTTACCATATTATATTATTATAATAGTTATTAAAGAAAACAATACTATTTTGTTTTTTAAGCTATATACTCACTATTATTATTCTCGACCTTTGTAAATACGGACATGTGCTCATTATAAATAAACGGTAAAATTGAAATGTACTTGTTTTATTATTCAAAGCCATCGGGCTACTGTAATGGTAATAACTGCAATTTATCATAAATAAATGCAATTGGTAATACTAAATACGCAGTATTATGTACGATATTGTATAATATGTTATACTTAATAAGTTTTGAATGTTAATTTTTATGTGCATTTGCAATTTTATATAGTATGTTAATTATTCTAAAAAACTATATTGTATATAAACCTATTCCTTATCCTTAAAAAAAGACTTTATAAAACATATTCCTATTTGAATTTATTCACATTAATCGGATGGAAAGAAAATAATATTGAAACAACAAAATATTATATTATAATATTTGTTTTTCAACAATTGTATTGAAAACGATATTCTCATATTTCGAGAAAATCGCCGACCCGAGTAGTAAGTTCCATATTTCATGATTTAATACCCATTATATATTATCTTACCGGAATAAATATGTATTATTCACTAGCCCCCAGCAAAGAGGTTCCGGTTGCCTTTGCAAGGCACATTATTGAAATCTATGGTTTTAAGAAAAAATATCTTTAGTACGGTGGAAATAAATTATAGGATTCCATTTCATTAATTGCGTAAGCAAAATTACATTTAATTCAAGTTTCAAGTTTAATTTCCACATTTTAAATCACTTAGGTAAACATTATACAACTGACATTTAAAAATGTATCTTAAAATATGAAATATGAATAGTATTACACTTATTATGAAAATCATTTACTAGTATCTATAATTACCCTTTACATCTATGGCTATGAACCTATGATGGCTCTAAAGAAAATTCGGCCGTTTAAAACTACAACCAGTCATAGTGTTTGGATCAAGAAATATCACCAAACTCCGTCACGCAAACAAGATAAATAATACGAGGTAAGGATTTGTATTATTATTTTTGAGATTTGCTTGATTCCTACCTTTGGAGTCTCTTAAGAAAACGTGATGCCTGAATGTCCGTCTCACAAACGGTGTACAACATACCAAATTTCAGTTCAGAAGAATTCATTTTTTGTTTTTGATTTTATTATTACAATAAATTGGTGTTTTATCAAATTTATAGTTAATATCATTAACTAAGAGTTCTCTAGTTGTTTTCCTGTAAATATTTTCAAGCAAGTTACAATTGGTAAAAATTTAAAATATTCAAAAAATAAAAAAATGCTCATAATTAGCTTTAAAATAACGAATACAACTTAAGAGGGAACACAAATAATAATATCCTTACTTTTAAATTTGATATTTTGATGATAGATAAATTTACTGTAATATTAAAACCAACAACACAAAGTGTCAAAATGGATTCTTCTGAACGCACATTTGTTTTATGCTGTAAGTCTGTACAACGGAGATGCATGTACATGCGAGCATCTGGTCCTTTTCTTGATAATTTGAAATAATACCATCGAAATATTACAATTTTAAAAACGTATACATATTTATGACTCACACTTTTATTGAACATTATACTAGCTGTTGCTTTTAGTAAATAATGAAAATGATTTGAATATTCATATTTAAGTTAGTTGTTCATGAATTTTATAAATTTGAAATTTCAGTTCATTTGTAATTTTTAAAAATTAATTTCAAGTTTTTTGTTCATAAGAAACACACACTGTTCAAGGACCTCATAATGAAAATAAATCGACTTTTATATTGCATGTCTGCTGAATTTCAGCGCGAAATACAACTGTAGTTTTTTTTAAGATGCCGGTGGTATTGATTTCGGAGTTGGGTGTTTAGGCACTGTGCTTTGGATATTGACACTCGGTCTACAGTTCGTGGCTATTATAATGGTCACCTGTCAATTTGCACACCAGCCTGCATAATATGTTCAACTATGTGAACTCGAACTACGGCGGAAAAAAAAATCACAGACACTCGCGACGTATAATAATACGAACCGCTTGCGTATCGATTTTGACGCAAAAGTACACACCTCAAGACGTGACGAATACTGTGCGCGCGTTTATTACGCATGAATACTATTACGAACATTTTAAGATTATTTTATTTGCACAACACAGTGAGTGACTATAATAATATCGTAATAACATATACAAACGCGTAGCGTACAGGGAACCTTTGTCGTTGTCGTAGTTGTCGTCGTCGTCGTAGTCGTCGTCGTTCCAGTCGAATACACGTAATATAATATTCGGCGGCGGTTAGTTTCGATGCGTTTTACGGGCCGGTGAACACTGCGTCTCTTGTCACCTCTACGCCACCCCCCCCCCCCCCGCGGGTACCACTTGATAATTATAAGTTTTCTGCCGCCGACGCCACCGTCAGCCCGTTCCGTCCGTCGCCTTTTGTCCTTGCTCAATATACTAATTGCTAAACCGAGTATACACACTGCAGTTAGGCATAATATACGTAGTCATGTTGGCAAGCTGCAAGGCAGGTAGATAGGTTAGGCGTGTATAATGCTCGTGTACGTACTCCTCGCGTCGCCGTGGATTCCCGCGAGAGAGGCTAACGACGAAGAAGAGTAGGTGCACGTCGTAATACCTCTATACATACATATATATATATAAATTATATTATATTATTATTATTATTATTATTATTATATTGTGCTCGTGCGATTATCATAAATCCATCCCTACCTGCTGGGCCGGGTAGACGATGCTGCGGCGGCAAAGGGTCCGGTCATAGTCGAAAGGGGGGTGGGTACGCGGCGGAAGGGCGGAATGGTAGTATAGTGGCTAAACAATCGTAGCCGCTGTCGTATAGTAGTAGTGGTAGTGGTCTCCCGCGGGGCTGTCGGGTGCCAAATATTCTCTCCCGCCCGCCCACCAACTCCAACGCCGCCGCCGCCGCTAAATAGGCCAGCTGCTGCTGCTGCTACTGCTGCCGCCGCCGCTTCAGAATTTGCTTTTCTTTTTTTTTTTTCTTTCGTTCGGCTTTTATTATCTATGTATATGTTTCCGTCTGGTTTCGTCGCACGGCGATGATCCCCTCGCAGTTTCCCGTTTCCCAGTGGTGGTCGGGGGCCTCGTGCGCCATATAATCTCAAAACTAGGTAAACTTACTGTAATAATATACTCATACTCCGCATACAACTAGAGTCGTTAAAACAACAACAATTACTACGTCACTGTTTGTTTGCATTTTACTTTCACGGTAACACTATATATATATATATGTATAAGTATTGTATTCTGTAGAAATCGTTCGACTTTTATTTACACATCAATTAAATGAAATTGTTTCAAGAAACATCGATGTGTAACAGAAAGTCGGTTAAGCAGCCGCCGAAATCTACTTAAAGTACATGTGGCTTAAATAGTGACTTCCGCTGTCGTTTTGGGTTTACACACTTTTTTTGCATGTGTGCTACTGTCGACGTAGAGTTAACGTGTGTGCAAAGTTCAATTTTCTTACGGTCAAAGTAAACAATTTGATGACACACCACCAGCACCACACAGCAAACGCAATTGCAACGTCTTGGGAAACGCGTAATTGAACAAAAAAATAATATCAATTTATTATCTGTTAGGAACCCGCAGAGTTACATCCATCGAACTTGGAGTGCAAAATGTCTCCGTCACCTATTCCGTTATTTCTCCGTTCACGCCTATTCTGGTTTTATCTTTTAGACAATTTTATATACCTACATGTTACACACATCGATTATATAGATAGGTACCTATGTGTGCAGTGATCATGCCGAGGCATACGTGATTTTTCCGATAAAGTTATATGATCTCAGTATGGTACTATGGTGTCCACATAAATTAAATCAATTTGATTGTTTTTTATCATATTATACATGCACGTT